GTCCAGGTTATTCGCCGACCAGTCCGGCATCTCCTTATGGTGCTTCATCACCTGCTTATGGTGTCATGAGTCCACGATATTCCCCAACGAGTCCAAGTAATATTTTATATTACCGGTTTTAAGGTTGTTGGATGTTCAGATAATAAGCAAATTGATTCCACTTTAAATCTTGATAAAATTTTGCAGATCCATTTATTACAACAAATTTCAGGTTACTCTCCAACTTCTCCAAGTTATTCACCTACTTCACCAAGTTACAGTCCTACTTCACCTAGTATGTTATTTATCACACTCTTTGACAAAATTCTAAAATTCGTGCAGACTTTCTGATGCTTCCGAGGATGATGATTTTGTTTCTATGAATAAATAACGTTCCATATGGTGGCAGTTAACCGAATTTTTAAACCTAGAACCGAGTCTGTGGTGTGTTTATTATCATACTCAATGTCATCTTGTAATTTTGAATACATTACGATTTTTTTTTCCAGGTTACTCACCTACTTCTCCGAGCTACAGTCCTACCTCTCCAGGCTACTCACCGACTAGTCCAAGTTATTCCCCGACTTCACCGTGTAAGCTTTATAAAATTTTAACTTGCTTCCTCCTTAAGAATAGTTCATTTTTTATATGTTCTTCCTTCTAATATTACCATTTATTTTCAGCATATTCACCGACTTCGCCGAGTTATTCTCCAGCATCACCTGGTTACTCGCCATCGTCTCCTCGCTATTCACCTACTTCACCGGCCTATAGTCCAACAAGCCCAACATACAGTCCTACATCACCTGCGTATTCTCCGACTAGTCCAACATATAGTCCAACGAGTCCATCTTATAGTCCCGCTTCACCTGGTTGGTACATTATCTATTAACGTTTCTTTTTTTATTTTTCAGCTAATTTTTTAAAGAAATAGTATTGGTTTGCTTCATGCTTTTATCATGACTTAAAAAAAATGTCATAAAATATTTTTTGTATCATATCTTTTGTCAAACGGTGAGCATTTGACTGAAAACAGTTCTGAAATTGCTATGATTAAGCATTTCAGGTTATTCCCCTTCTTCTCCTCGTTATTCTCCTACAAGTCCAACCTACAGTCCTACAAGTCCAGCGTACAGTCCTTCGTCACCACAGTATAGCCCGAGCAGCCCTCAGGTATGCCTTAAGTAGACATGCTTTTCTTCCAATAAATGACGCATCAACGATTAGTATTAGTATATTATCATTGTAAATAGTTAAGATTTCTAAAGAAATAGCTGAAGCATTTTTGTTTTACAGTATTCACCATCATCACCGCAATACACACCAAGTTCACCTGCTGGCGATGCCTCACCCGCGGTAAGTTGTTTACATTTGCCTTCAAAAAAAGAAAAAAGTTTAAATGATCAAAAAAAGATATTAAAATTACAACAATTAGAAATTAAATTCTCTTCAGTATTCGCCGACATCACCGCAATACTCACCATCTTCGCCAAGATACAGTCCATCAAGTCCACAGGTTAGAAATCTTATTAAAATTTTTTGACTTTCAAATAAACATTCTTTGTGCACAAATGGATTCGTACAAAAGAATTCGTTCATTTATATTAGAGAAAATCTAGCAGATTTTAGAATCGTATTCATCTATACTGATGGTTTATTCTATTTACAGTACTCGCCGACATCACCTCAGTACAGTCCAAGTTCGCCAGGTGGAGCAGGCACTTCGGTTTGTCCCAGTTTTCATTTCAATTCATTTTTAAAGAAAAAAATTATTTCTGCTATAAAATTTATTCATTTCAATATCTTGCGATTGCTCTTATAGATGAAAATTTTCAGTATTCACGAAGTTCACCACAGTACAGTCCGTCATCTCCACAATACTCACCAAGTTCACCACAGGTTTTTTTTTCGTCAATCCTAGGTTGAGAGATTTTATTTTTTAGATATCTGCTTAGTTTTTACCAAATAATTTTTAATTATGCTAATTTATCACAGCATATTGGAATGCTTAATTTGCATCTTACTTTACTAAGAAATAATTGACATCTTTAATGAAATCAATTAGTATGAGTTGTTAAATTCATTTCTCACACTAAGAAATTTGATATATTAGCCAAAAATTTGCTTTTTACCAAACAAAAAAATTTTAAATCATGTTAGTTAAAATTCATTTTCAGTATTCTCCATCATCACCGCAATATAGCCCATCTTCTCCGCAATACTCGCCTGGCGATTGATTCGTCAACAAAAGTTGTTTATTGTACTTATCAGCAACAGTTTTCTGCAGTTATGATCATGTGTCAATTAAAGAAATTAATATTTCATAAAATATGTATAGAATTGTAAGACTTCAAGACATACAAGTTGTGTTTTATGTGAAGGCTGACAGTTGATGAGTCGTATGTTTGAGCTATGTAATAGTTGTTAAGGTGACCATGATTTTTAGCTACAGCAATGCTGTGTAAATTATTTTTTTTCAATGTACTGACACTATTTATACTTTTCATTTGTTGTTGTTTACAACCTTTTTGTGTTCAACTGTTTTGTAGATAACATGGTGTGGTATCAAATGGAGTAGTTGCGGTATGAATTAAATGAAAAATTAGAGCTAATCGTTGTCTCAATAACGGGTATAATTGCCGCATTCTTAGTTTTAAAACTTTTGCTGAGATAAGAAATTTATTATATTATTTCCATTTGTTGTTGTGCATGTTTACAATATAAATATTACTCTTCATTACTTCTCTTTTACATGTAAAAGATAATTAAGTATTGTGGAGTGTACTAAAAATGATGGAATGTATATAAATCATAATGAGTGGGATCAAACATACTTAGAGAATATTCACTTTGATACAAATAGTTTATAAACAAACTGTTTGCTTTTTATTTTTATTCATTTTTTTTTTTTGACTATTAGCAAATTCTTTTTTAGGGAGTTATGATAATATCAAAGGAATACATTGTAAATTGTCTAGATTAACTAAATTGTATAAAATTACAGAGAAGGAAAGTGGTGCTGTGAAATATGAAAAGCAAATTGTGAGGGAATTCAACTTTTTTCTAACATTATCGAAGAAATTAATTCCAAATTTCTATTTTCCATAATATTAATGAAAAGTGATTCTGCTACTTCTGATTATCTGCATTACAATTAGTTATACATGCTCATGTTAAGATTGCATAAGCTAAGAAATTACAAAATTTGGAAATCTGCGAAGTTTGGAAATTTCTGCAGAATTGCACATCATCTACGTTTCACTTTTTTCCAACAATTTTAATGAATATATGATAATCGAGAACGTCATATTCAATCTAATCAGATATGGATTTCCGGATATTCTACTGTATAACAAAGTAAAGTATTTGGAATTTTAAATTTGAAATCATTCACTGATATTGATAATTAATGGCAGATGTTATTGGCTCTTTGTCCTTAAAACTCCCGTAGGCTTTCAGGTATGGTCATATAATGTCGAATTTCATTAAACTTACAAATATCACATCCCTTTGGATATTTCGGTTTTTTTTTTTACTGTGATTCATTTTTGATTCATTCCTATTGAAATCTTTGCATATATTATGGTTTTGCAAAAAAGATTGTTATTGCGTATGGAATATTTTAAATATTTTAAATTCAATTATTTATAAATAAACTAAAACTGAACTATTGAGGTGATACCGACTTATAAACTTTCAAATTTTAAATTCATATTTTTTCATAATTATAATTAAGGATGCAAACTTTCCTCAAATTATTGATGGTTTTCACGTTTACTTAATCACGAAAAAAACTGATCTTTTTTGGAACAAAATTTCAAAAGTTTTAATTGCATTCTACAAAACAACTTTACTTTGAATTTTTTTCAAGGTTATTGTTTTCGATATCATTGGTCAAAATGCAAGTATTCTGTGTTTCCGATGTAATTCAATTTCAATTCCGATTTGCACATTTATTCAAATTATTGCTTGTAAAAAGGAATTTGAACTTAAAAAAATTATTCTCTATATCAGAGGATCGTATAAGAAAGATGCTGTTAACTTTTACTAATTTAAAAAGAATTAGCGTTGCATCATCTAAAATTGGTATCCGTTGAAATATGGACTATTACAGTGCTGATAAGCACTATCACTGTTATCACCATCTATTTATTTAAGCATTGACGCGGATTGCAGAAAATCTTGTGTTCCTTATTGTCTTCTGTTATGTTTGTTTATTCAAAAAAGAAAAGAATTTGATTTTAATGTAACAACTTGTATTTTAGCTAAATATCAGTGCTTACTTTTAGTTTGAATATCAATTCAAAAAAAAAAAAACTTCCCTTTTTTTTTTAATTCGTGAAATTTTCAGTTTTTGCTATTTGAAAGTTTAATGGCTTTTAAAATTTTTCCTTTTTTTATGCCTACTTCATTAATCTTTTTAAAGACAATAAATCGATGATAATAAGGAATGGTGGGCAATTTCAAAATATTATTCAGAGTTAAAATTTCAAAATACGATGAGGAATTATTTACATCCAATCGATTTTTCTTTCATTTTGCGCCATTTCCAGTTATGCTTTCAATTGCTCATCTTTTCTATGCTATATTTCATTTCATACACCTTTTTCAATATTTTTTGGAGCACAATTATCAAAATTATCTTTTTAAATCGAAATTTATTCATAAACGATCATAAATGGAAATATTTTTTAAGCATTACAAATTTTTGATATAAAGTATGAATTAAAAAGCGGGATATTGTTGATAATTGCTCAATTTATTGAAGTGTTCATTTTGCTGAAAGTAAAAATTTCAATTAAACCAATGATATAAGCAAATGATAAACGATTAAAATTGTAAAAATGAGAAGATAAAAGTGAAAATTTAACAAATAATATGAAGCAATCAATGGGTTACAAATTTCATTGTAAAATTTTTCGTCTTTTTTTTCTCAAGAAATTAAATTTCTTGGTGTTTGAGCTTTACTAAATTGTTAATTTATTTAAGCTTACAATTTTATTTATTAATAATTAATTAGCTTACTTCAATTTAGCTAATTTGCTAAATATTGAACGCCGTTTACGTCCAGCACCAAAACATGGGCAGCAATTACAACATATTTGTTTGCCAACAATCTGTGGCGATAATTGTTGAATTGGTGCTCCTTGTCCAATCATTGGAATTGTTTGTGGTACCTGCGGTTGTGGCATTAACATTTGACCTGTTTGGATGAGCATTGGCGATGGTTGACAGCATATACGTTGACTTATTTGACAGCAAAGAGGTGCAACGGGCGGACGTGTTGTCATAGGTGGTAAAGTTATTGGAGGTGATGGCGAAAAAGATTGAGGAGATTGAGCACAGCAACATAAACTATAAAAATTCCAACTTATTACATTATCATTTATCACTGTACAAGTTAGTTGCATTCTGATACATGAAATTTAAAAATTTGCATTTAAAAACACGACAACTTGGTTAAATTTTACAAATTTCCTCAAAATTCCTTACAAATTGAAGAGAAATATTTGTGACAAAAATAATTTTATTGTAAAATATTCATCCTCAATGAATAAAATTTGCTAGCAATATTTTCATATGTTGTAAACTAACTGTATGATAGATATTAAAATATGAATCAATTAAACGTACAAAATTTATGGATAAAAGAAAAAAAAAACAATGAAAAATTTTGACTTACTCAAATGACAATTGTTCTATTAGTAAAAACAAAAAAAAAAAAAAAATTTTTTTTTTTAACTATTTAAATGAGGAAATAATTAGTGTAACATACGTTGCACAGCAACAATATCGCTGACCACAACCATTAAATTGTCGTTTCAATCGTAAAATTTGCGAAGATATCTTATCAATATTATCATTGGAAGTAGAATTAATTAATCCTAAATTTTCCAATGGTGCATTCTCAATTATTGCTATAAGGGCTGATAAGAAGATGAAGAATGTTAGCATAATAGTAGAATGTAGAATTTGAAATTTGAATATTCTTTCAGGTATGAAGAATTAATTAGGAAAGATTTCTTTATATACTACTAACTGTAAACTAGCAAACTAACTGGTTAGCTATGGTCAACTTTTAGCTCACTTTATATTGAGTTAGTTGTAATTTGCTAACAGGTATTTCTTTAATTTTTAAACATAAAATGAATTTTTTTCTCCTTTGATAATCGAAAATAAATGAAGAAAGAAAAAAATAACGAATGCATTAGTATGATGGCAAAGATTCGAGAAAAATAGTAGACTAGATTCTCTTGTGGTAAAAAAATTCAAATGAAGTAGTTGAGAATTTGAAAGTAAACGAAAGATAAATTTATTGAGAGAAAAAATTACTTCTTTTACTTATTCATTTTTCCTCTTTTTTTTTCTTGTCTCGAATTAATTTAATATTATTTTGAAAATACAGTAGAAATAGTAGTAGCAAGATAGCAGTAATGAGTAAATAGAACTATATAAAAAAAAAGTAACAAATCTTGTTTGAATCATTTAATTTAAAAGAATTTTAACAGAAAGAAAGAAAAGAAGAAAAGAAAAAAACAATTATCGATCGTCGAAAAATACTGGACGAATAGTGTCCTTCTTTTTGGAAAAATTTTTGGGAAAAAAAAAACTATGGATTATCTTTATCGTTTTCTCATACATTCTCATTGATAATTTGTCCTAAAATTGGAAGCATCAAAAAATTTTCCATAATAAATTATAAAATTTAAATGATATGAAGCAAATTAACTCATTGTGTTTTATCTCAAATTTCTCGAATTTTTTTTCTATAATTTCAATTATTAAATTGATTTTTAACTATGTAATTAGCACAAACTTTTCAATTATTAAATTTTCCATAAGTTTTTATCAATTATTTAATTGACAAAAATTATTTTTGATGACAAACTTAAATTTTTTGATTCTATAATTTTTTTTTTTTTTGTTTTATTGCATAGGAAAATATATCGTTGCAATAAATATTTTCAGAAAATGAGATAGTCAAGTAGTCGCAGGTGGCAACTGTTCTGACAGCTTAATGAGTTTGTTGAAAGCAATCATTTCCAATCAATCGATTTGCAACTAACTATTCATTATTTTCTAGCAATATTCGAAAATACCGATTGGATAAATTATTGATGTTAAATTTAGCTATAGGATAAATTAGAAGATTAAGCTGAAAAAAGGGTTTGAATCAATTTGATTGATTTTTTTTTTTTTTTATTTGATTACGACATCTGATCAGTAGTGCAAATATTACGGCTAACACAATATTTCAGCATGAATGCATCACGACTACTGCAACTCACTGTTGCAATACTTCATGGTAAGAATTGAAATATTAATTTTTAATGATCAATAATTAATTCTCATAAAATGATCATCTGAAACTTTTCCAATCTTTATCATTCATCATGTAACTTAAATTTTTCAAACATAATGATGAAATTACTTTCAACAACACTTTCCTTTTGTTTTTTATTTTTTAAAAAAAATCATTTCAGTAAACGATTTATTAAGTAATCGTTACGCAGATCAATTGTATGAAGATTTGTTATATTTCTATAATAAAAATGTAAGACCTGTACGAAATGCAAGCAATGCGGTACAAGTTAAATTTGGTGCATCATTGATTCGAATCATCGATGTGGTTAGTTTTTATAACTTTACATTGCTAATTTCAAAAAAAAAAAAAAGTTCTTAAAATATGACCCATATATTGAAATGCATTTTGAAGAAGTTTTACTGAGCACACTTTTTAATTCTTTTTTTTTTCATTATCCATTTTCAAGCAAATTTTTTTATCCGAATACAAAATCAAAAAAAAAAAGGATAAAGTAAAATATTTATTAGCATATTCACTCTTTAATGAATCGAAGAGAAACAAAACTGAAAGTTTGAATTTATTTGTATAATCTTTTATTATTCTTTAGTTGATGACAGAAAATCATTAGTTAGTGGTGCTGCGAATATTTGCGATACACCGCAATCAGATGGGCAATATGTTGCTGGTTGACCTGAAAAAAAAAATTTACATTAATTTTTAAGCTCTTTCAAAACTTTTTGAAAATATATGAAATTAAAAAATAATACTTCATGATCAATTCAAATTGCAAAAATTTGAGAAGGGAAAAATTAGCAAACCTGGTTCACCAGGTGGTCCCCATGGTCCTTCTTCGCCTTTCTTTCCGTGTCGTCCTGGTGGTCCAATAGGACCAATAATGCCAGGTTTTCCAGCGAAGCCAAATTCTTTAGCTGGTTTACCTCGTGGTCCGGTGGGTCCTTTTGGTCCAGCAGGACCAAGTGGTCCTTTAGGCCCTTTAATTCCGGTACCAGATATGACTGTCTCACCAGGTGATCCTGGAAGGCCAACAGGACCTTTAGGACCAGGTGGTCCTGGTAAACCGGGCATACCTGGTGGCCCATTTTCTCCTGGCACACCGGGTGGGCCTGACTCTCCAGCACTACCAGATTCTCCAGACTGTCCACGTTCACCTTGTAGTCCTCTAAAATAGTATGATTATTACTTAGGAATAATTTTTCAAATTTTAATAATCTCTGTAATTGCTTAATTTTTGATGCGAATATCAAAAAATAACTTTTTTATATACAATTTTCATGGGAAAGTTTTATGCAAAAAAAAAGAAAAATGATACCTCTGTCCAGGTGGTCCAGCAGGGCAAATTGAACATGGTAATTCTTCCTCCGGTGCAAGCTCTACATCATAACCATCATCACCTGGTAATCCTGGATTACCTGCTGTTCCTGGTATTCCATCCTCACCAGGAGGTCCACTTAGACCAGGTGGACCTATAGGACATCTAAACAGAGCATTTAGCATTTAATATTTAGCACTTATCTAAAATTTTATCCAAAAAGGGCATTT